CGCCTGCAGGTGTCAGATGGCCTTGGTGCTCGCTGAGTTTGGGGCGGCCTCTAATGGCTCTGTGGGTCGGGGAGGGGAGGAGGAGTTAGCTATGGACAGAGAGATCCGGGAGCCGTTCGAGGAAGGGCCCGGCGTTCCTGCTTCCTGGCCCCGGGGCTTCCTCTGCCTGACCGTTACCTCCCCCATTACCTCTGCTCCTCCCCCCCTCCGCAGGCATTTTGCATGTCTTTCGTCGAAATACATGTGCCCCGGAGTGCCGGCCGTGATGAGCACCTTGCTGGCCAACATCAATGCTCACTACGCCCACACCGCGGCCTCCACCCAGGTCTCCGCCTCTGATCGCTTCTCGGCCTCAAACTTTGGGGTGAGTCTCCCCAGCCGGTTTCTGGACCCAGCCCGCAGTTCAGCATCCACCTGGCTTTCTTTTCGGGGATGGGAGGAACCCGTGGGCTGCTTCTGCCCACAAGGGTTGTGGAGCAGTGTGCTGTTGTAGTGCCAGAGGGGCTCTTTTAATTAGTGAGTGGGCCGGCAATGAAATGGATCCCGGGTGATGTTTGAACAGCTCAGAAAGCCTGCCAAGTTGATCAGACAAGGAAGCCACCAGCCCTTCTTTGAGATACAGAAAATACATTTTAAGCTCTCCGGGGTTGCTCGGGAGTAGGACAGCCCCACACTTTTCTGAGGTTGGATTTGGCAACGTGACCTGCTGGAGGGGCAGCTGCTCCTCAAGAAAAACCCGGCCTTTCAACCTGCAGAGACACGGGCCGTGTACGTGGAGTTGAATCCCCCCTCAAATTGATGTTTCCATCTCACTGGTGACCCCCAGAGATGCAGGAAAGAGAGGCCTTCCCCAGAAATATCAGGAGAAACCCCTTTTGACCCCTGCCCTCTTTTCTCCTGCTGCCGACAGAAAGAACGATTTGTGAAACTGCTGGACCAGCTGCACAATTCCCTCCGGATTGACCTCTCCATGTACAGGGTAGGTGCTGCGCCTGGAATGCTGCGTTTCTCCGTAGGGTTTGGGCAAAGCCTGCCTTGGCCTTAAGGCCCCGTTGCCCCTCCGGCAGCGAGGGGGCGTGATCCCTGGACTGGCAAGGGTGGGCCCGGAGTTGGGCACTTGGGCTCCCAGCAGCCCCCAGCCTCAACTGCACACGGGGTGGAGTCCTGCGTGTTTCTCCAAAGTGATGGGCTTTTGATCTGGGTGAAAAAGGCAGACGGAATATTTATCTGCATTATAGAAACGACTCAGGATACCTAACAGGTATCCCACCTCTCCCCACTCCGTCGCTACCCTCCCCATGTCTTCTTGGTTTTAATACTTGATTTTAACTTTTTAATTTTTTGTAACTGTATATATAATAGTAAACTGTCCAGAGTTAGATGGGCGGCCAATAAAATTTATAAATAAATAAATTTTGTAAATAAATACATTTTATAGATCAGTGATGGCGAACCTTTTAGAGACTGAGTGCCCAAAAACCGCCCCCGCCCGTCCACCCCGCCCCCCACCCCAACCCGCTCCTGCTCCGCCCCCTGCCCTGCCCACAGGGCCACCCACTGCCTCCACCGCCCACCGCAGATTGCCCAGGTAGCCCAGCAGCGCCATGGTGGCCACGTCCTCCACCCACATCCCGCAGCATCATCTGCGTGCAATGGGATGCGAGGGCAGAGTCTTGTCCCCGCTGCCTGGCTGCCATGTCCTTGGCTGTGCTGCTCTGCGCAGGCCGTGCCCGGGGGCAACTCTCCTCCGGGGGGGCTGCTGGTGAGGAGGGGTCTGCAGGGGAGGCGGGGCTGGGGCAACAGCTCTGTGTGCCCACAGAGAGGGCTCTGAGTGCCGCCTCTGGCACACATGCCGTAGGTTTGCCACCACTGTTATAGATAAATAAAATAAATGAACAAAGCAAAGCAAAGCAAAATAAACAGAGTGAGGGTGGGCAACACTGGAGGGCTCTGGTCTCCTGGGGACTTTTCAGAGGCCATCCAGGAACAGCCTGGGGAAGAGCAGGGTTGAAATCCTGCAGCCTCTCTATCAAGAAAGAAATGGGGTTCAGAAGCAGACCACAACTATTCCTACGTGTCGCCACCATCCCCCCCCAGGGCCCTAAATCAGCTTGGTTTTGAGAGTGGCCGGAATCCAGAGGCCCCTGGGTCTGCCTTCCAAGGGAGACTAACCAAAGCCATTCTTACTGGATTTGCCAAGTCCATGTAAGCAGCATCTTATTTTTTTTTCTTAATAAGTTGTGGGAATATTGCCTGCGTTCGTGCGTGCACGTGCGGTCGTGCATGTGCTCTTCAGTAGGAATGGAATGCTTATCCAATTTGCAGATGACCTAGAAGACAGAAAAAGTAAAATTCAAAATGGTCTCGGTACGCTAACGAAATAAGCTGCAAGTAGCACACCGTAATGAAATTCAACAGAGACAAATGCTAACATCTCGCCTTAGGGGAGAGAAGCCTGCGCTGTCAGAGAACAGGGTCACCTGGCCCAGTGACGGTTGTTGCGCAGAAGATCCTACGCCAGGACCTGCCTGCAAAATTTGGAAGCGGGATGGGGTTGACTGCGAAATGCAGTGTGAGGTGGCTACAAATGAGCAAGCGCTGTAAAGGGGTATTTTCCCCCACCGTGGAAAGGAACCGTCCCACTTTGTTCCACTTTGGCCAGGAGTCCCGTGTCCACTTAAAAGAAGAGCCCAGAAAAACTGGAAAAGGTCCAGGGAAGGGCAGCCAGTCTGGTCAGAGGACCAGAAACTTTGTGTAGAGAGAGGGAAGGAACGGGAAGTTAAGCTTGGAGAAATGGCAGCTGAGGAGGAATATGGCCGCTACTCACCGTTGTTTTTTAAAAGACAGGCCAGAACAAGCTGCTTGTTTGTGACAAGCAGCTGCAGGAGCTGAATAGCACTGTAGGGGTGTGTTGGTTATGGAAACGTGGCTTAAGGTGGCGGGCGGTCTGTGATGGAGACATCAGCTGGAGAAGCATCAGGCATGGGCCTCCAGGCGGCTGGAGAACGTCAGTCTTGGGGGCGGAGAGCAAGAGAATCTCAGCGTCAAATTCTGGGTGTTGCCTGCGCCCGGAGCCGTTGAGCCGCTATGAAGAAGATCATTGATCCACTGTGCAGATCAGCCCTTCTGAGGCAATGGCAGCAGTTGGTGTTGGTGGCAAGAGTGGACCTTGCTGGCTTTGTGATGGTGGAGATGGGGACTTCTGGTGCAATGGTGGCCACAGGTAGCTGAGTGGACACCAAGAAAAATGGAGCATGGTAAGGGAGGACAGAGGTTGAGGTCGGACTGGAGTTGGCGTAGGTAGGAACCGACTGGTTCTTCTCTTGGTGCAGGGACCCTCCCTGCAGCCTACTGGAGTCCATGGAGAAGGGGGTGGAGGCCCTGGCCCCACCAAATGACTGGTCCCTTGAGAGCAAGTTCCCAATTGAGGCGGAGGGTTTATGGGAGGTGGATCGGGGGGGGGGCTCTGGGGCCGGTTGGAACTTCTCGGTTGTGGGAAGAGGAGGTGTGATGGGATGTGGTGATCCACCCATGGAGAGGGCATATTTGGTATTTGGTTCTAGTTCTGTCTTCCAGAACTGCCTCCTCCTTATGGACTCAATCTCAGTGCCTGACCGCTGGCCAACCTGTGTGGTCAACCTGAGATAAATCTCTCCTCATGGGTGATCTTTTGAGGGATGAAAGGCCCAGTCTTGGAACTAAGAGCCGGGCGTGCACTGAGTTGAGTGTGCCCCTTTAGAAGATGTGCACCCTCTGAGTGACCCAGAGCAGAGCCTGCATTAAGGACTGCAGCCTGGCCATAAGAGTGGGGAAAAAACCCTGTGGCAGGAGGACCTGGCCGCCTCTGAAGAATCAGAGGGGTATCTTATTCTAGGCCTCTGTTGGGTACCCTCACTCTCAGTTAGGCTCTGGCTGGACTGAAGCACGGGACCTCTTCTCTCTCCGTTCCCCACCCTCACCCCATCTTCGCTAGGGAAATACGGGGAACGCCCGCTGAGAATGGCAGGCATCCTGCTGTTTGAATTCGTGGTCGGGGAAAGTGCTTTAATGCTCGGATAAGAGGCTTGTTCCTTCGACCGCTTGCACCAGTAATTGGATGTAAGCGCTAGTACAGCTCGGCCCAATTAAGCCTTGTTTGTAAGGATAAAAGTATTGAATAAGGGAGCTCTTGATTGATCTCCCCCAACAGGCTTGGTCTCAGGTAGCAAAGGGAGAAAAGGCTTTTGCCACCAATAATTTTCACATCACCAGGAAGGATGTTCTCTCTCTCTCTCTGTAAGAGCGGCTAGTTTGGCTGTCCTGCCTTCTGCTCACAGGCTGCTTTGGAAGAGACAGTCCAACCCAGCTGCCCTTGTCAGGCCCTGGCTGGGCTTAATCCTGCCTGAAATGGATGGGATGCGACCCCTCCCCTGCCTTCCCTCTTGGACCAGGACCGAGGGCTGGTTCCCCTGGGGCTCCGTGGTGCTGGCGTGCACCTTTGGGGGGGACACGGTCAGGGGTGCCTGGCTTTTGGCCGGCATTGGGGAGGGGGGAAACTCAACAAATGTCTCACTTAGCAACAGAAATGTTGGGCTCAATTATGTTCATAAGTCAAGGACCACCTCTAAATGGCCTTTGAACACCTATGTGCAGGTTCTTGAAATGCTGACCCAGGGGTGCTGCGAGAAAATCGTGACACCCTAAAAGCCCATAAACATCCTTAAAAACAAGGAGGTTGTGTGTGTGTGTGTGTGTGTGTGTGTGTGTGTGTGTGTTAGTTATTCATTAAAGAAGAATTGAAGTGCGTCCAAACCAGGTGCAGAGGGATTGGAACAACACAGTAAACGGAGCGTGTTAATAGATCAAGGGGATTAAAGTGACACCTAAAATATAAGAAGCTTGTCCAAGGGAGTGAATACGGCAAGAGCAAGAGTCATTGGAAGTAATGTTTGCATTTATTGAGGCACACAAGTAGAAAAATCAGATTGCCGGCATTTAAGTGCCAAAATGTTTCCTGCTGAAGTTTTCCGTTGTGAGACAGTCATCAAGCAGAAGAAAGGAACTCAGGAATTCTGGTGGGGACGGAGTGACTTTTTCTCTGTCCTCTCTCCCCCCCCGGCCCACTTGAGGCAAGATTTTCACACCTTCCCCGTAACTTAAGAGTGACCCAGGTATCAAAGGTGTGTGTGTGTACCAGTAGAGGAAGCGTATCTCATCATGGGAAGGTTCAAGCCAGCATGGTTCCTCCCCCCCTTGCTGCTCTGTAGGTGGGAGAAGGAAGGGGCAGGGGTCTAAAGAGCAAATGCTGGACCTCTGGGCTGGTCTGCACCAGCTCCCCTCCCGTAGGGCCCCTCCCCAACCTTTCAACCACAGCTTCTCCTGGGATTCAGCCCCTCCTTCTGCTGCAGCCACGCTGTCCCCCCCCCCCCAGGAGCAGGCTTGGTGGGTACCTCACGGGTCCTCAGGCCTTGAAAATCCCCACTTATGTTCCTGCCTGCAGAACAACTTCCCTGCCAGCAGCCGGGAGCGTCTGCAGGACCTCAAGTCCACCGTGGACCTGCTGACCAGCATCACCTTTTTCCGAATGAAGGTAGGGCCATTCTTTCAGATTCTTGGGGTCCCGGATCTTTAGAGTTCAAACTACCCGCACCACAGGTCCTTTGTGGACTTTGAAAGCTGGGGAGGGGAGGGAGAGGGGTTTCCTGACTTTGGGGCCTCTGCCTGGGTGGAGGGGGGTCTGGTCTGTGGGAGGCCTTCCCCTGCCATCTTCCTTCTGCTGCCGCTGGTGTGCCTCTCTTAGCCCTCCCAGCTCCTGCCACCCCAGTCGGTCATGCAAGGAAAGAGAGAGCCCCCTGTTTCTCCCCCTCACACACACTGATGTGGGTCTGTGTGTGCTCCCCCCCCCTTCCAAAATTCAGAGGCTGCCCTGGCCATGCCAGCCAGTCAGCCGCCTCTGCTGTGCCCCATACATGGCGGAGCGTGAAGAACTCCTAAGGCAGGCATGTCAAACATAAGGCCCGGGGGCCGGATGGGGCCCGCGAAGTGGTTTCATGTGGCCCACGAAGCCATCCTGGAAACAGTGAGGGAACGGCCCCCGCTGCCTTGGCCCTGACCCAGGCCGGCCGGGAGCCAATGTGCAATTTTGTGGTGGCCATCTATGCCGAAACGCATTCAGTCTTAGCTCCACAAGGCCGTCTGGAAACAGCGAGGAACCAGCCCCTGCCGCGTCGGCCCCACCCCCTGGGTGCATGCTGGGGAGGTGTCACCCTTTGTGAGGAATGAAGAAATGGACCATGCCTTGGCGCTTGCCCCGGTCCCACCCCCTTCTGCCAGAGACCCTCAGATCTGTCCCACTCCTGCCCAGGCCCCCACAGGCACCCTTGACGTGAACGATGTAGAGCTGGCCATGCCCACCCAGTAGGCCACACCCACTCCATCCACGCCCACCCAGTAGGCCACACCCACCCTGGCCACATCCACCCGGCCCCCCTGAGGGCAACCGCAATGCTGATGCGGCCCTCAATGAAATTGAGTTTGACACCCCTGTCCTAAGGGATCCCGTGTTCCTCCTCATCCATCCCTCTTTAAGCAGCCGTGATTTCAATGTTGGTGCTTTTTGAAGGACAGGAGATGGTTCTTTCTTGGGTCTTCTTCTCCTATGTTCCTGTGCAGAAGCGCCCCTTATCCCACTGCAGCTTTGTCTGCTTTTCTGTTTGTGGGGAGACCCCATTTCAATTCCCTCCAGCGCTGAGATGTGATCCCCTCAAACCCCCCCCCCCACTTATCCATGAAAGAAAGGAAGAAATCCTGCCGCGGAAGACTTAGCCTAATCCTCCGTCTCTCCGTCTCCCTGGACTTTCCTTCACGTCCAGCAGCACGAACTCTGCAAATCCAGCAAGAAATCCCTCTTTTGCCGTGGTCAGCCTGCTGCCGCATCTATTCCCTGGCAATCGGGCGATGAGGTTGCCCCCCGGCGCTGGCAAGCTGCCAAACGCTCGTCTGCCAATTAGTTGAACTCTGGCAGGGAGGGGGCACCTCTGGGGGCAGGAGGAGAGCCAGGAACAAGGCAGCTCGTCTTAGGCGGAGGAGGAGACGCTGCCTCTCCCCAGCAGAGGCGGCTGATTGCGGGGTGAAATTTGTGTTTGTCTCTTTTCAATTAATAGGAAGCCTGCGAAATGATTTCTGACAAGCCAAACTATTCACAGTCCCACTGTCAGGAAGGGGCACGGAGCCTTGTTTGCTCCTGGAACATTCTCCCCTCCCCCCTCCTCCAAGCTGTCAAGTTGGCTTTGTAGAGCAGGCATCTGGATATATTTAATGCAACCCCCGTGGCCCTCTTCAGCTTCTGCTTCCTGAAGATCACCCCTGGAAGGGCTGAAAGGTCCTTCCCGGTGGACTCGGCCCAAAGAGCTTGTCTGGCAGAGCCTCGCCGGGTCATTCCACCCGCGGACAGCAGGCCGAGGACTTTCCCATCCCAAAGAGGAAGGGAGGATGGGAACTGGCAGTGAGGTGGAGAGTTACTCTGCTTCCGCCTTCTAGGACTTGTCCTAGAAGACCTCCAAGTCTCTTCAACCCCATAACTCTATGATATTATAACCCATTTGGAGGGGGGGTGTCTCCTCTCCAGGGTGGAGAAGACTTTTTAAGGATGTAACAATGGGCCTTCTGGAGGTTGAAGGCGCCTAGAGTGGAGCCCTCCCCATGTGTGGCAGAGGAATGTGGTGGTGGGAGAGGGCCCCTCCCTGCAAGACGCTTCTGGACCAAAGTCCTGCAAGGATCAAGTCTTGAGGCAGCCCCTGGGAGGAACTCCTTTCGGCCTCTCCTGGTCCAGACTTTGCATCCAGATGTGGCTCTCGGCTCCCTTTAGAGGTGCTTCCACGGGGGCCCAAGGGGGAACGTGGTGCCCTGAGCAGCAGGGCTGCCCAGAGAAGAGAGGAGAGAGGTCAGAATGGAAATGAGAGGCCAGGCCCTCCTCAGGGGTTCTCCTCACCTCCTTTCCCGCCGTCTCCCCAGGTCCAGGAGCTGCAGAGCCCCCCACGCGCCAGTCAGGTGGTCAAGGGCTGCGTCAAGGCCTGCCTCAACTCCACCTATGAGTACATCTTCAACAACTGCCACGAGTTGTACAGCCAGGAGTATCAGATGGACACAGTACGTAAGCGTGTGTGTGTGTGTGTGTGTGTGTGTGTTGGGGCAGATAGGTGAGCCAGGCTGTCTTCAGGGGAGGAGAGCCTAACTCCCACTCAAATCCCTGAGGTAGGAAAGGGACCCTTTTGGTCTGCATAATGTGGCAGTATCAGAAGAAGGACAGTTTCTGAGTCCTGGTGACGCGGAGGTTAGGGTGCAGGGCTTCAGGATGACTCTGCGTTCCCACTGCCAACAGTTCGATCCTGACCAGCTCAAGGTTGACTCCACCTTCCATCTTTCCGAGGTTGGTAAAATGAGGACCCAGATTGTTGGGGCCTATATAGGCTGACTCTGTAAACCACTTAGAGAGGGAGGTAAAGCAGTGTGAAGCAGTATATAAGTCTAAGGCAGTGGTTCTCAACCTGTGGGTCGGGACCCCATTTGGGGTCGATCGACCATTTCATGGGGGTCGCCAAGCAAGGCTGTTCGCCATTTTTTTTGTCCGCCATTTTCCCCCCCCTTTTCCGGCGGGTGCCTTACCTCCCTTGGGCTGGGCCAGCTGGTGGTCGGCCTGCTCTGTCTCTGCCGCTTGCCAGCTACGCCTCGGCCGGCGCAGGGGGCAGAACAATGCATGCACAGCGCTCCCGGGCAGGGAAAGTCCTCGACTTACGACTGGTTGGGTAGTCCTCGACTTACGACCGGTTTAGTCCTCGACTTACGACCGGTTTAGTCCTCGACTTACAACTGGTTTAGTCCTCGACTTACGACCGGTTGGGGTCGCGGCATTAAAAAGGTTGAGAACCACTGGTCTAAGGGCTACTGTTATTTCTATTGCTTTCTATCTTTCTCTTTTTCTCTTCCCTCCTCCCTCCCTCCCTCTCTCCCTCTCCCTCCCTCTCTTCCTCCCTCTCTCCCTCCCTCCCTCCCTCCCTCTCTCCCTCTCTCTCTCTCTCTCTCTCTCTCTCTAAGATCCATGGGGGCCCAATGGTTAGAATGCAGTATTACAGGCAAACTGCTCACCGAGTTCAATCATGACCAGCTTGAAGTTGACTCAGCCTTCCATCCTTCCGAGGTCACTAAAATGAGGACCCAGGTTGTTGGGGGCAAGATGCTATGTCTGTAAATTGCTTAGAGAGGCCTCTAAAGCTCCATGAAGCGGTATACAAGTCTAAGGGCTATTGCTGTTCTCATTAATCCTAGCATAGTAAGGCTGACCCTCAAAAAGCAAAGGGAGAATCTAGCCAAGAAGGGATTCTCCTGAATAAAGGGTCCCAAAACAAGAGGGGGGGAGGGGGCTGCTTCCTTCTGCAGCAGAGCAGCTTCTCTGCCCAAATGGCCTCTGCAGATCCCCTCACAGCCCCCAGTGGGGAGGGGGGTATGTGTGCGTGCGTGTGTGAATTTGGGGCTTTTCCCGGGGTAGGAGAAAAGGGGCGCCCTGATCTAAGGAGTGCCCGTGGTCTCCCCCAGAACAAAGCGCAGGAGGTGCCTCCCGAGGAGCAGGGTCCCAGCGTCAAGAACCTGGACTTCTGGCCCAAACTCATCACCTTGATCGTCTCCATCGTGGAGGAGGACAAGAACTCCTACGCCCCCATCCTCAACCAGTAAGGGAAGCTCTCCTCGGCACAAAAACAGCCGGCCGGGGCTCTGCTGTCCGTCTGTCCCTGGTGTCCTTCCGCAGGGCCTGTCTATTGTCCGTCTGTGTCTGTCTGTCCGTCTGTGGAACAGTAACTGTGTAGTTGAGATGGCGGCTTCCGGTTAGCGCCCAGGAGAGGGGTGAGAGCTGTTCCTCGGTCCGGTGCCCCTTCCCCCTCCTGCATGCCAAGGCCTGAGGCCCCGGGGCTGGGGGCTGCATGCGCTCGCTGCAGTGGGGAAGCAGGGGCATGAGGGAAGCAGGCGGCCGGCCAGCCAGGCGGGCAGGAGTCGCCCCAGAGCGGTTCTGAAGAGGGCCTGTGCTGAGGGGCAGCTCCTGGGCGGGGGGTGCAGCAGCCATGCTGGCAGCCTTTTGCCTGGTAGGGAAGGCGTTGTGCACCCAGACGCATGGGACCTGAAAGCCTCCAAGGCCTCAGGGACACCCTGGGGGAAGCTGGGCAGGCAGCCCTCCTCTGGAGGACATCCGGCTCGGTTCTCTCTGGGCAGGGAGCAGCCCTGCGTGGGGGAGGAGTTCCTCTTTTGCAGGGGGAGGGCCAGCACGTCAGCCCCCTCCCCAGGGCAAGGGACATCCCTTGAACGCCTCCTCCCACTCCTGATGCAGGTTTCCTCAAGAACTTGCGGTGGGCAAGATCAGCGCGGAAGTCATGTGGAATCTTTTCGCTCAGGATATGAAATACGCCATGGAAGGTGAGTCCCTCGGGCATCCTCTCGGCCCACCGGCAGCAAGGCCACGTTTTGTGGAGCGCTCGGTGCTGGTGATGAAAGGGTTAAGGGTATCTGGATATTGAGGCCGTTCAAGTAATGAGGGGGAGCCTTTGGTCTAAGGCAGGGGTAGGCAACCTTGGTTCTTTTATGACTTGTGGACTTCAACTCCCAGAATTCCTAAGCCAGCCTGGCTCAGCTTGGAAACCTCTCCCTTTCCCCTCAGCATGGCTGGCTCAGGAATTCTGGGAGTTGAAGTCCACGAGTCATAAAAGAGCCAAGGTCTAAGGGAACATGGGAATGATGTCGGGACGGGTGGACCTCAACTTACGACCAGTCTCCTAGTGGCCATTCAGAGTTACAAGCTACCTGAAAAGGGGGACTTTCCCAAATTGCCACAGTCGCCCTCTCTTTTTTTTTTTTTTATTGAAAAGTTTTATAAAAGTTACAATATAAACCCCAAAACCAACGCCCCCACCCCCCTCTCCCTCCCCCACTTCCCAGAGCTGAATACAGGGTTACAAATATAATAATCATAATCTAACTAACATTAACCAACTATATAAATAACCAAGTCCATAATACGCTTTAACTCGACAGTCACCCTCTCTTGTGACCAGACTTTGGGTACTCAGCAGCCCAGCCACATTTACGGCCATTTTCTGTGTCCCACAGTCACATGACCGCTGTTTTACAGTGGATTTCCTGCAAAACAGCCCATGCTTCCAGTTTTCAGCAAAACTGCACCATAATGAGCCATGGGTGGCTTAGCAGTCGTGGTGTTTGCTCTTACAACCACGGTATTCGCCCTGATGACAACGGATTTTGCCCATCCTAGGGCTGCCCGTGATGGGGGAAGCGGCTTCAGATGGTTGCCTTCTTGGGACTGGAGAGGGGTGGGCTGGAAGTGGTGCTGCCAGACAGATGGGGCTTGCCCCCCAAAGAACACAATTCTCTTCAACTCTGGACTTGCCAGACTGCAGAAACGGAGGCCCTGTTTTCTCCCCCCGCCTGGCGTGGCCAGGAATTATTCAGAGTTTGGGGTCCTGCACTGGACCTTCTGCTTGGCAGCTCTCTGGAAAGATGCCGTGGCAGTGCCCGTTGCCCCCTGACAGCCTGGTCACTCTCTGCTCTCCCTCTCTCCCCCCTCTCTTTCCTCCAGAGCATGAGAAGCAGCGGCTGTGCAGGAGCGCCGACTACATGAATCTGCACTTCAAGGTGAAGTGGCTTTATAACGAGTACCTCTGCAGCCTGCCAGCCTTCATGGGGATGGTGCCCGAGTACCCAGCGTGAGTTCCTTCCTGCCCCTCCCCACCACTATTTAACAAAATGAAATTCAGTGGTGAAAAAAGTAAGGTTCTACATTTAGGCAAGAAAAACCAAATGCACAGGTATAGTATAGGGGGTACCTTGCTCAATAGTAGTAATTATGAGAGGGATCTCGGAGTCCTAGTGGACAATCACTTCAATATGAGCCAGACGTGTGCTGCAGCTGCCAAAAAGGCCAACACAGTGCTAGGCTGCATTAACAGAGGGATAGAATCAAGATCACGTGAAGTATTAAGACCACTCTACAATGCCTTGGTAAGGCCACACTTAGAATACTGCATCCAGTTTTGGTCACTGCAATGTAAAAAAGATGTTGAGACTCTAGAAAGAGTGCAGAGAAGAGCAACAAAGATGATCAGGGGATTGGAGGCTAAAACATATAAGGAACGGCTGCTGGAATTGGGTATGTCTAGTTTAATGAAGAGAAGGACGAGGGGGGACATGATAGCAGTGTTCCAATATCTCAGGGGCTGCCATAAAGAAAAGAGGGAGTCAAGCTATTCTCCAAAGCGCCTGAAGGACAAGAAGCAACGGATGGAAACTAATCAAGGAGAGAAGCAACCTAGAACTAAGGAGAAACTTCCTGACAGTTAGAACAATTAACCAGTGGAACAGCCTGCCTCCAGAAGCGGTGAATGCTCCAACACTGGAAGTTTTTAAAGAAGAGACTGGACAGCCATTTGTCCGAAATGGTGTAGGGTTTCCTGCCTGAGCAGGGGGTTGGACTAGATGACCTCCAAGGTCCCTTCCAACTTTACTATTATTATTAACTCTTCTCCCTCCCTCCTGGGACACTTTTGCAGCTGCTTCCAAGGGGGAATGGGAGGAGGCCATCCCTTGCCTGGGTCTGGAGTCACATCAGGAGCTTTGGGGAGACTGGCGAGCTGGGGATGCCAGGCCTAGCTTGTGGGGCTCCCTCGGGGAGGGGTTTGCAGGAGGAGAAGTGCGTTCAGGCCAGATGGAGGAGCTGAAGAAGTGGCACGTGGGCTTGCATGGGCTCCCTCTTGCCCAGAAAGAGCAGCGGGCAGCCAGGAGGACAGCAGCCAGAAATACTTCTGGGGACCCCTTTGGGTGGCTGGCTGAGAATTCAGGACTCTCCGGACACCTTCGTGCCGGTTATCAGCATTAAGGCTCTTTGGAAGAAGCCCTGTTTCTCTCCAGACCCAGCCCTGCCTAGACTATGCTTCCCCAGGTGGGTTTCCTCAGCAGCTGCTTGGGGACTCTGGCCTGCACCCCAGCACTGAAGATTGTTTCAGTTGTGCTTGTGAGAATAACAAAATAACTCCGTAGCGTGGTCCTGCTGAGCCCTCGTCTTGGGCCTATGCTGCTCATCCACCCTTGTGTCAAGTCAGGAGTGTGTGTTGCAGTGCCCAGGACTTGGGAGAAGGCCTGCTTGGATCTGTCACTGAACTGCTTGGCCTCGGCTGTGGGGCAATGTGGACCATTGGCCAAGCTGCCCCCTGCACACCGAAAGGGGTCCCAGCATTAAGCATTACCAGCTATGCTCGTTGCTGAGGCCACTGTCGGGTGGGCTAAGGATTGGGCCCTAGATGTGTCTCAGGGCCCCTCGGCTCTCCTGCGACCCTCCCTCTCGCCTGCCCCCTGCCTTTTACCGAGTGCCTGTCAGATGCCAAGGCACAGGCACCGCTCACTTTTGCAGCTCCATCAGATACCAGAAATATTGGGATTAAGCACCAGAGGGCAAGACGAGAAACAAGGGTTGGAAACTGATCAAAGAGAGAAGCAGCCTGGAATTAAGGAGAAAGTTCCTGGCAGTGAGGACAATTAACCAGTGGAACAGCTTTGCCTTCAGAAATTGTGGGCGCTCCATCACTGGAGGTTTTTAAGAAGAGACTGGACAGTCACTTGTCTGAGGTGGTATAGGATAGGTTCTCCTGCTTGAGAAGGGGGCTGGACTAGAAGACCTCCAAGGTCCCTTCCAGCTTCTGTTCTATCCTATCCTATCCCATGCCATCCCATTATATTCTATTCTATTCCATTCCATTCCATTCCTTATTCTATTCTATTCTATTCTATTCCATATTCTATTCTATTCTATTCTATTCCATATTCTATTCTATTCTATTCTATTCTATTCTATTCTATTCCATTCCATTCTATTCTATTCTATTCTATTCTATTCTATTCTATTCTATTCTATTCTATTCCATATTCTATTCTATTCTATTATCATTCCATTCCATTCCATTCTATATTTCTCTATTCTATTCTATTCTATTATTCCATTCCATTCCATTCTATATTTCTCTATTCTATTCCTATTCTATTCTATTCCATTCCATTCCATTCCTTATTATATTCTATTCTATTCCATTCCATATTCTATTCTATTCTATTATTCCATTCCATTCCATTCTATATTTCTCTATTCTATTCTATTCTATTCTATTCTATTCTATTCTATTCTATTCTATTATCATTCCATTCCATTCCATTCTACATTTCTCTATCCTATTCTATTCCATTCCATTCTATTTCATTCTATTCTATTCTATTCTTTGCTGCTCCTGTCCCTCTGAACGGGAGGAAAAGCCCATCACAATCTGAGGCACCATTTATCTTGCTCCCCCTCCTGGGGGGCACCAACTGGTAAAAAGATGAGGGGGTTTGAAAAGCCCCTTTCTTCCAGCATCCAGGTCAGAGCAGGTGGGCAGAGGCCAGGTTTCAGGGAGGCCTCCGCTTGCAACAGGGCTCCGGGCACAGCTCCCTGCCTGGCTGAGCACGTCTCCCTTCCAGCGCCTTGTTGGAGGCCTTTTTCCTATCTAGGAGCCCAGCCAGCAGGACAGTGGCTTTCCAAGCTGCCACAGACGTGTGTGCCCTGCCTTCCTCGGTTTTGGGCCCCAGAAGCGCTTCTCCGTTCCAACACAAACACAGGAAAGGAGGGTTATTTCAGGCTCCCGGAGTAGTGTCTCTCACCTCCTTCTTCATCACCTTTGCACGTTTTAAGCAGCCCATAATTAGCACCAGGAGTATAAACTCTGCCGCTGCTGCTGCTGCTGTGTTGGCCCAGTGCAGTCGTCAGCTGTCAGAAGCTGTCTGGGTCTGGGTTGGCTCCTTCCTTGTTGGCAGGCAATTTGTTTGGGTGGCACCGAAAGGCTGCCGGTGGCTCTGCGCCACTGGGAGGGGGGCAAGGGGCCAAGAGATGGTGGGGCTGCTCTCCTCTCTTCATCCTCCCAGCCGTCCTCTGGGAGGGGAAGGAAGGGAGAAGCAGGTGGGGGCAGGCCAAGGGGGATGAGTGGGAAGGAGGGGCAGCAGTTGGGCTTTGAGGGGAGCTGGGGGGGCAGGATGGGGGGGACTGCAATAGCTAGGCAAGCTATCTGACCCTAGCACTAATCCAACACACACACACCCCATTTTCCAACTTCACTTAATTAGGTTCCTGCCTCAGTTGACGATTCTTTTTAAAAACAGCATGTTGCACCTTTCCCCATGGATAAAATGTGTCCCTTTCCTTGTCTAAAACCATCCTGTATAATTGGGGCCTGCGTGTGTGAACCGGTCAGGAAAGAGGGCGCCTGGCAGAGATGCCTTTCTCGGCCTCTGAGCCAGGGCTCCAGCATGGAGAGGAAGACCCTGCTCTCAGCTCTCTTGACTCTTCTCCAGCTGTGAGAGGAAAGAGGGAGGGGGGGAGAGATCGATCTGCTTTATTTTCCTCCTCCCACAACCTTTTTGGGGGGGATTTTACACACACACACACACACCATTCAAGGCCTGATCCTGTGTAGCCCCTTCACGAGCGGCCAGGCTCCATCAGGGCTTGCAGGCCAAGATGTATACAAGTTGGCAGGCTGGATCTTGGGCATCTCCATTAAAAGGGCCCCAGCCTCATTTGGGGGGGGGGATGTCTCCCTGTGCCCCAGGGAGTGCCTGGGAAAGCCAGCTCCTCCCACTGGTGGCTGTAGGCCAGCCATTGCTACACACACACACCCAGCCTGGCACTTGGCCCTTTCCGCTCTTATGCTCTTGACTGGGGGCCAGTGGACAGAGACACCCAGCAGGCATGAAGCTCTGGGGGGAGGGTTATCTATTTACAGGAAGTCCTTGACTTACGACTTATTGAGCCCAAAGTCATGAATAATGACCGTGTAAATATTTTTTAATGTAAAAACATTTTACAGCCTCTTTGGCGGTAAAACCGTCATAAATCACGGTCTGGGATTGTAACTGTGGGTCACTGCAGGTGTCCGTAAATGCGGGGCTGTTGCTGAGTGGCGCAGGATGTGGTCACGTGACCAGGGGCGTGGATGTCATAACTTTGAATCTTGAGTTGTAAGTACAGTTTCCAGAGTCTGTCGTAACTTCAGACGGTCGCTAAGCGACCGGTCGTAAGTGAAAGGCTGACCGTGCTTAGCCCAGGAGCTGTAAAAGGAAACTTTTCAGAAAGGCAGCCGTTCCATTTTCCCTGCCTGCAAACAGCCAAGCCGAGGGGCGAGATAGGCGAGGGGAGTCGGGAGTCACCCCACTTGTAGGTTCCCTTGGCTTTTTGGAGGTGGGGGTGTCGCTTCAGGCTGACTTCACACAAGGGAGGCCAGAAGGAAAGCCGTGGGGGGCAGGAACAGGAGCCCCCAAGGTCGTGAGTTTACCTGACAGGGCAAGGGAGAAAGGTGAGGCTGTTTGGGGACCTTGTGCTGGGAGGGGTTCCTCTTGGGAAGCAAAGGAGGACAGGAGGAAAATCCCTGGAAAAACAGCTGGGATGTGTCTTGATTGAGGGGGTGGATGGGGGCGGTTCCCCAAGAAGAGATCTCGGCTGCCTGTCAGTCCCAGACAGAGCGCAGAATTGCTCATGCAAGTGTCTACCCCCCCCCTCCCTTCTCCATCTGCAGGTGGTTCGAGGCCTTCGTGGTGCAGTGGCTGGACGAGAACGAAGAGGTCTCCCTGGAATTCCTGCACGGAGCTCTGGAGCGGGACAAGAAGGACGGGGTAGGTGTGGAAGGAGACCCTCCTTGGGTCCTGCAGCCCCTGGGTGGGAGGGGGCAACAGCCCCAGGCAGAACGGGTTGCAGCTACTGAAGCTGAGAAAGACACGCCCACCCCCCCTCCACCCTCCACCCCTTTCCTGGGCAGAGGATGTTTCTGTTATGGCAGCCTGATCACACCTACACATACACACCCCGCCTGTCTTCCTGATAAGCAAATGGGCCAACGGGATAGCCTCCGGTTAGTCCAGTGTTTCTCAACCTTGACAATTTTAAGGCATGTGGACTTCAACTCCCAGAATTCCACAGCCAGCAATGCTGGCTGTGGAATTCTGGGAGTTGAAGTCCACCTGCCTTAAAATTGTCAAGGTTGAGAAACACTGGGTTAGCCTCTCGCGTTGTGCTGAAGGAGAAGCCTCGGCCGCAGGGCTCCGTTCTCCTTAGTTTGAATTGTCCTGGCTCTGGCAAACTGGCATTCGGAGGGTGGCAGCAACGGGTGCGTGAACAGAGAGCAAAGGGGTGGGTGGGTCAGGATCAGAATTCTCATGAGGATACTTGGGCGGGGGGGAGGGGGGCAAAGGCAAGGATGTGCGTTTTGATCTGTCACCAACTGTGCCAAGTTCCATCTGACCTGGATTTTCCAACCAGGGACTTCACCCAGGAGCTTGACCTAGACCAGGGGTAGGCAACCTTGGCTCTTTTATGACTCGTGGACTTCAACTCCCAGAATTCCTGAGCCAGCCATGCTGAGGGAAAGGGAGAGTTTTCAAGCTGAGCCATGCTGGCTCAGGAATTCTGGGAGTTGAAGTCCACGAGTCATAAAAGAGCCAAGGTTGCCTACCCCTGACTTAGATGTTAAATAGACGTGGGGAGGGCCCTGAAAAGGGGCTGTGCACTAGGCCTCTCCCCCCTCAGCTGTAAGCCGCCCAGAGTCACCAAGGCGATGAGATAGGCAGCATCTAAATATAACAAATAAACTGGGACCAGCCTCAGAGAAAGGAGGAGACGCAGCGTAGCACTGTGTCCTCCGCTTCCAGTCCCCCCAGACCAAGGGTAGGCAACCATGGCTCTTTTATGACTCGTGGACTTCAACTCCCAGAATTCCTGAGCCAGCATGGCTCAGCTTGGAAACCTCTCCCTTTCCCCTCAGCATGGCTGGCTCAGGAATTCTGGGAGTTGAAGTCCACGAGTCATAAAAGAGCCAAGGTTGCCTACCCCTGCCCCAGACCATCCCAAGGTAGTCGTAATAATTGTGCCAGCCTATAACTAATGGCATTGAAAGTGGCTAAGAGGTCAAGGGGAGCCAGAACAGACCCCCTTCCCACTCTCACTAGAGGTCCTCCACACGCCCGATCAATGCCATTTTAATCCAACACCCAGTCCTGAAACCTGACTGATAATCCACTTCCTCCAGAATTCTCTGCAGTTGCTGTGTGAACACCTCAAAAAACCTTTTCTGAAAAGGAATTTGAACACTGTTGAGAATAATTGCATCTAGTGATGGAATCTTGCAGAGGGGATAAATCACAGCCTCCTTAAGTCATACTGGGCTCTCTCAATGATGAATTCATGATATCTGAGCACCTCCCCCTGCCACCCCCAGAATCTCACCCTAGGCCAGGGTTAGGCAACCTTGGCTCTTTTATGACTCGTGGACTTGAACTCCCAGAATTCCTGAGCCAGCATGAATTCTGGGAGTTGAAGTCCACGAGTCATAAAAGAGCCAATGTTACCCCTGCCCTAGGCCCTAGCCAAATAGGAAGGACCTGGATCTCACCCACAGTGGCCCCACGCACAGCTTTGAGAAACCTGCCCACCTCCTCGGGAGTCACGGGGCCAAACTCTTCCCAGAAAAGAGTTAAGCCAGACTGAGCCTTAAGTCACCTCCATGGGACTTGCCTCAGATGAGTCCAACTTGGAGCAGAGCTGAGCGACTTTATGGCTGGGTGTCTCATAATGACCTTGCAGATGAAGCTCTGGTGCCACTGTGCCCAGGAGAACCTGGGTCACCTTAGGGCCACAGGTGGCTTTCACAGGTGCGATAAGGGTGGGGAAATACACACATTCTGCCACCCTTGCTCCTGATCAGCTCCTGCTCAGTCAGCTCTCCAGCCATCTCTTCTCTAAGCACCCCTTTTATTCTGCCTTTTGGCCTAGTCGTGACTAGAGTTCGGGAACTGATTCTCACAGCATATTTAACTAAATGGAAAACTTTCTATATCCGCATTTGCCCTGCTGGCAAAGCTGGGTGGCTTTAATCCTGGTGGTGGGGTGTTTTTTGCGGGTTCATTGTTGTGTGAACCCAGCATTTCCAAATCCAGGTTGGCATGTTGGCTAGGTTCTCCCAGAATGTGATTGCTCTCTGTTTGGGGTTTAGTTTCAACAAACGTCTGAGCACGCCCTCTTCTCCTGCTCGGTGGTCGATATCTTCACCCAGCTGAATCAGAGTTTTGAGATCATCAAGAAGCTGGAATGCCCTGATCCAGCCATTGTCGCTCGCTACATGCGGCGTTTTGCCAAGGTACCATTCTCCACCCCTCCCTCCCTTTGGTCTTTGCCCAAATGCCATCCAGGATGGTCCATTGTGCTGCTCCTCAGAAGGTTGAGTTAAGGTCTCTGATCTCCTTGTAGACCATCGGGAAGGTGCTGGTGCAGTATGCTGATGTTGTCTCCAAGATCTTCCAGAGCTTCTGCTCCAAGGAGAAGGTGGTAAGTCCCTGGCCTGACTCGGCCCAGGCATTGACCCGTTCAGTGAAAGGGCTGCCCTTTGGCCAGGAGGCAGCCAGCACGTCGTGGCACTAGCTTTAGGGCAATCAGCAGCTAGTGCTGTAAGACAGTGGTTCTTAACCTTTTTGAACGAATCGCCCCCTTGAGCCAATGAGGAAGTTGTCATCACCCCCTCCCCCAACATAACCTCTCAATCACAACATAGGAAATAATTCTTCAATTTATGCAAACAATTTTTTTGTTTTCTTTAAAATTGTCATCAAGACATATCGATGCAAATAATTTATTTCCAGTCTTTTTCCCTTATCTCAACTGTGTGAAAATTTTTTGGTGCCACCTGTCACTTTATTCCCAAACTTCGTGATACATGTATTTCATTATTATCTTATTTATTTAAGACACTTAAATGTAATGACCACTGAAAACAAAATTCAATTGCAAGAAAGTGAAATGCCTGCAAAGAAAAACAGTAACATTTAATGATTGAATTACAAGTGAAATTTAAGACACAAAAAGAAATATAAAAAGGGCACAAGAACAAACCGCAATGCAGGAACTAAGAATTTCAAGACGAAAACTCTGAAACTAAATTAAGATTTGAGGAAAGTATATATAGTCACGCACACTGCAAAAAGGATTAAAAAGACACAAAGAAAATATAATATCGAACTGGAGTGCACGCTAAAAAAGTACAATACAAAGAGACACAAAATGTTTTACAGAGCACAACAAAAATTCGAAAACGAAGCCAAAAACTCAAACTGGAACGTGAAATCCAATGCAAGCAAATACAACGATAAAAGCTCAGACAATTATTAACGAAAAAAAATGTATGTACACAAAAAGCAAAAAAAAAAAAGAACATCAATGGCTGCCCTGTGCTTGGTGAGCTGATGCCAATTTCTTGATGTCTGGAACCATTTTTGTTAATCGCATTCTTAAATCACCGCGCGAGCGATCTGATGTTTTCGCACGACAGATATACAGTGATTCACTGTACGATAAAGTCTCAAAAGTGTCCCCAAAAGTTCTCGCTCCATCGCCCCCATATCGCCCCCTTTTCATTCCTTCGCCCCTGCATTGCCCCTTTTCGTTCCATCGCCCCCCTGAAAAACAAAATCGCCCCCTGGGGGTGATATCGCCCAGGTTAAGAACCACTGTTGTAAGAGACATGATCAGGGCAAAGCTATCTGGGCAGCTTCTCAAAGTCCTTCTCTGCTGGAGCAAAGTCTCCAACCAGCCTTTCTCCATGTGGAGAACTCCAAGGCTCTGGTCCCAGCGGACAGCCGTGGTGGTCCAGGGACCAGAGCAGCTTCCCTAGGAGGAAAGGTGGTGATGTTGGGGGCTTTCTGGTCAAGAAAGGAGGCAAATGAGAAAGGACTTGAGGGAAGTGTTCAGAACTGAACATGGGTCAAGTGGACAAGGAGAAGCCGTTCTCCCTTTCCCACAAATATTGGAATACGGGATCGAATGAAACAGAATCCTGGGGTAAACAGGGTCAAGAAAAGGAAATACTTTTTAGTGCAAGGTTAGATCAGGGTTGAAATTCGCCATCGTAAGACGTGCTGGTGCCAGTCTGGCTGGCCTCAAGCAAGGGGTGGACCAGTGCAAGGAAGTCCTGGGCTCTTAGCTCTGAGGGCCATGGAACTGCCTCGGGAGGCATCTGCTGGGAGAGGTGGGGGGGGCTTCCTTGGGCAGCTCGATAGCCCCTGTGAGAGCAGAGACTGGACTGGGTGGGCCAGGGCTCCAATCCATTCTTGCAGTATATAAATGGATCCAGGTCAGAGCAAGAACCACAGACAGATGTCCCTCTTGCTCCCACATCATCCCTGGGACCAAGGAAGTAGAAATGGGTCTTTCGGTCCTCTGTTCATCCAGACCTTCTTTAGCGGTTGGGCTTCTTTGCTGCCCCAGATGGCACTGGGGAAGGTGACTACTTGCAGGAAGGGGCCTAAACCACAGATCTCCCTCTTCCTCCTTGAAATCTGATGGCCTTTTGCCTCCCTCCCTCCCTCAGCCCTGCATCCTGATGAACAATGTCCAGCAGCTGAGGGTGCAACTGGAGAAGATGTTTGAGGCCATGGGTGCTAAAGAGGTGAGTCCCGGGTTCCTCTTTGACTGGAAGGTGGGGGAGAGGGCCTTCTGTGGTGGCCAAGGCCATCAGTGGGGGGGGGAGGGGGAGGTTCCCTTATGGCAGCGGAAGGTCATCCTTGTTCTCAGCTGACAGCTGAGATGGCCTCCTTCAGAAGATGAATGGGAGTCTTTGGGAGAGGCTGGCTGCAGGAGGCTGTCTCTGCTGCCATGGCGGGCATGGAAGAGGGCGTGTGGGTGTCGTTCCATCTCTCCCAGGGATCTCATCCAGCCGACGGTCTCTTTCAGGTGGGGTGGACTTCAAAGGGAGCTTTCTCTGCCGCTTTGTGTGGTCAGCCTGGCAGAGCCCCTGAGAGCAGCCGGGCGTCTGTCGGTAACCCTGGAGCACGTCTCTATTGGGTCCGCTCTTCTCTTGGGCCTTTAAATTCTACATGCTCCTGGGAGGGGGTTGCCCTGTCTGGCCCACACACTCTTTGATCTTTCCCTTGCTACCCATTTGGATAATCGTGGTTTTGTCCCTTGCCACAAGAACCGTCTTTGGTTTTAAGCTTCGTAGAGTCTTTTAGTCAGGCATTTTTGTCAGATGCTGCAGAAACTGCCCCCCTCCCTCCAGAACAGCCGCCCTGGTGCTCCCGCTGAGTGCGTTGCATGCCCTCTGCGTTGTGGGCAGACAGGCAGGCCCAGGCTTGCATTGGCACAGGTAGTCATATCAGAGGAAGGAAACCAATGAATATATAGGAAGACCACATAGCAACATTGATAGCAACAGGGTGGGAAGGAGCCTCTCCGTGCCTGGTCTCTGGGTTTTTGACAGTAAGAGAAGGAGACCAGTTTTCATAACTACATGGATGAGACCCCTGGAAACCATTCAGTCCCACCCAGTCTTGGGCACGAAGCCAGCTGGGTGCCTTGGTCCGGCCCTCCCAGTCAGCCCCCAGGAGGAAGATGGCCAGGGCAAACCACTTTGGACAGTCCTGCCAGGAAAAATGCAGGACTTGTGCAGGCGGTCACTTGGAGTCGAGGCTGACTGGGAGACACACAATTTGTGTCTTTATTTTTTATGTGCCTAGGTAAAAACTCTTCAGGTGGATGGGAGAGGGAGGTTGGGAGTCTCTGCATGGCCGCCAGAAGTGCCTGTGGTCACTTCGCTGACTCCTGTCTCACGGACATGTTGGTCAGCTTTTCCAAAAGCGACGGCTGCGTAATGGGCACAAGGCAGGCAGGGATGCGTCGCAATGCGCCTGCAAGCAGTGTGCCCTGTCCCTCTGCTTCTGTGGCCGCCACATTAGTGGGTGTGTGATTTGTCTGTTTTTTGTGGCCGGACCAAGCCCTCCGGACCCTCAAGGGTGGAGCTTTTGTTCCGATCCAGCCTTTCCTACTCATTCCCCCTTTGGGGAGGAAAAATCGGGGAGGGGGTCCCCTCCCCTTGGCTCCTGGCTGATGGATGAGTCGGTGGCAGCTGAGAATGGAGTCATTGACTCTTAAACTGAACTGAAGGAAGAACACACACACACACACACACCAAAGTTAGTGAAAATTCCCCATTTCAAGGCAAGGAGGGAGGCCCGGCTGAGGACCTCCGGTTCTTCCCGGCCCCATCTGGAGATATCCCAGTCGACGCACCTGCAGGACATCTGCAGACACACCTGCCTGTAGAGACAAGCATATTTTCCCGCGTTAGAGTTAGTGACATCTAAACTACATTTGTTTGGACTGAATTATTGCCCATAAAATAAGAAATCTGTTCACAAAACAGATCGATGCATAAATGATAAAACAGTTGCTTCCTCTCGCCTCCCACTCTTGTCCAGAAAACACGCAAGAGCCCACAGACTCCACAAAAATCAGTGGGGGACAAACACAGGTGAAGGCGGGGTCAGAGGAAGAGAAGGGGTGAGGGAGGTGGGCAAGGGCCCCTCCCCAGATGGTCCTAAGCCAGCAGCTTCATCCCAGACCCATCTGTTGCCAAGGAAGGGGGGAGGAGAAGCATCCCTCCTGCCCCAAAGAGGGTGGCTTGTAGCTTTCACTTCGCAATCCCGTCTGTGGGAGAGGAGGTGGTGCAAAAATTGACACCGATTTCAATATAAAATAAACAAGGCAGCTGGAATTATAGCATTAGGGCGTCTCTGCCTCATGAATGCTCTGGCCCCCTTCAGTGCCAGAGGCCCTGGGTCCAGCCCAACTTGCAGGGGGGTGGGAGGGAGGTAGAGGAGGCGAAGTGACCGGAAGAGAGGAAGGAGAGCAGCCCCATTGAAGCCCGTCACAAAGACCCCCAATTTATTGGAGAAGCAGCAGCAGCAGATTCTGTCCCCGGCTTTCCTCAACAGCATCTCTTCTTACCTGCCCTCTCCCTCCTGCTTTTGAAGGCAACTCTCCCCACCCCCCCACCCAGCCTTGTTTCCGTGCACCTTCCCCAGCAGGATCCCAGAGGTGAATCTGATGAAACACACACACACACATACACACACACGGATGGAGCTGTTCTCCTGCTGTGCAGGAAAGTCATTATTGCCTAAAACAATGATGGCGAACCTTTTAGAGACCGAGTGCCCAAACTGCAACCCAAAACTCACTTATGCATCGTCGGGTGCCGGGTGGGTGTGGCCCGTTGGGTGGGCGTGGCCCGTTGGGTGGCCGTGGCTGCGGCGGTAACGGCAGACTGGGTGGGCCTAAAAAGTTCAATCAATCAGTTCCAACTTTGCAAGATCTTTTTTTTCCCCCCGCGGGAAGTTGAAATTGACTGATTGATTCAACCTTTTTTTTTTTTGCACACAGTGTCAGAGGCCTAAAGTGAAAAGGTTTTATAAAACCCAGCTGAAGGCCTAGGACTGGGGCGACGGCACACGTGCCCACAGAGAGGGCTCTGAGTGCCGCCTCTGGCACCCGTGCCATAGGTTCGCCACCATTGGCCTAAAGTCATTATTGCCCTTCCCCTCTCCCTGTCTCCTCCCCTGCCCAATGTTCAAGGGAAATGTTAAGGAATGTGCACTGCGTGAGGCAGATCATGCGCTGCCTGGGTGCAGCTCTCGCCTAGATCCGTGCATGCTTATGGGCCTGGGATCCTTCCCTCATGAGGGTCCCTGCCCAGTCTGAGTGCAAATGAGCCGCCTAGCTGCGAAGTTCAGCCCTGCTGCTCTTCTTTGCCTCCTGGCTCTCCTGCAGGGCCTCTAGCAAAAGGTCTTGAGGAGCTGAGTGCAAGCAGAGTGGAGGCGATGCCTGGCTTTGCTCATAGCTCCTCCCTTGGTCTTGACACTCAATACTGTCCACAGGCAGCAAAAAGGAAGCCAGAGGGCATCTTTGTCCTGAGGGGGGGGGTGCCCCTATGCCTGGGCAGCATGGTCTTCCCCAGGGCCCCCAGCGGCATCACAGCAAGGCTGCGTTGCTTCATCCAAATGGTTGAAAGAAGCCCCAGCACGGCCAGTCCCTTCCGGCCCTCCTCGGAGTGGGCAGTTTGCCCTGCCCTGCTGCTTGTGACCCATGCAAGCCAGGCCCAGGCTGTCTGCACACAGCAAGACCCTGGGGCTGGGTTTCGCCACAGGCGGGCCCAAATCAATAAGCCACATTATGCAGAAATGTGACAGTCCAGTTCTGGCTTTCGGGCCTTGGCACTTAGGAAGTCTGGCGCCACACAAAGACACCCCCCCCCAGGGCTTGTTCCGGGTCAGGTGGGAGAGGCCCTATGAGCTGAGCAGTACTGAGGTTCCAGGCCCTTGGTGGGGCCCAGCTTTGGGGCTAGGAGGAGATTGGACAGCCCTGCTCTGAAAAGCAGGGAAGCCCTGCAAGGATGCGGGTGCCTGAGAGCTAGGGAGGAGGGGGTTGTTCTTTTCATAGCAGAGTTGGGAAAGGGGCATCATCGAGATAGACTGAACTCTTGACACACACACACACACATACACATACCCCGTCTTGCCTGCACTCCTAGTCTGGCGGAAGCCGAGGGCACCCTGGTAGGGCAACGGAGAGTTCTCCAGCCTCGCTCGGCACTCTTAGCTGCCGGTGGCCTCAATGCCACACCAGCCTGTTCCTGGCGGGGAGTGGTCCTCCGGCCCCACCGCTTGGTCCGGTGCCCAAGGAGGCCAGGCCCCTGTTCCCAAATGCAACCTTGCTCTTTTTTGCAGCTGGACCCCGAGGCCAGCGATTCCTTGAAGGAGCTGCAGGTGAAGCTGAACAACGTGCTGGATGAGCTCAGCACCACCTTCGGAAACAGGTGGGCTTTTCCCTCCCCCCCGCAAGGCCCCCTCCCTCCGTCTGGCCCGGCACCGAGCAGGAGAAGGGAACGCAGAGCCCCCAAAGAAGAATTTGTGGCGGATTCTGATTTTTTGCTGTTTTTGCCTCTTGTGACATCCCCCCCCCCCAAAAAAAGTGGACTGATCTGCATTTGGCTCTTGCAGCACAATGGAAACGTGAATTCTGAAGTGTGAAATCCGTCTGGATTTCTTAGTGTTGGCTTTTGTCACAAGTTGAGCAAAAAAAAAAAAAAAAGTAAGATCAAGGTGTCCCTGCGGGTTTTCCTCCACTAGTTGTGACCGACTTTAGGGGGGTGGCGCTCACCTCCGTTTCTTAAGCCAAAGAGCCAGTATTGTCCGGAGATGTTTCAGCTATCATGTGGCTAACATGACATCACGCCGCAGCACAGCGGACGGTGAAACACGGAACGCTGTTACATTTCTTATATAGCTTATATGTGCTACCTATTGATCTACCTGCATATATTTACGTGGTTTTGAACTGCAGGAGCTGGCCCGGAGACGGTAGCTCACTCCGTTCTGCAGCAGCTGGGTCTCAGATGGTAGATTCGTAGACCTTTAACCATCTAAGACAGTGATGGCGAACCTTTTAGAGACTGAGTGCCCCAAAACTGCCCCCTGCCCCCGCTCCACCTCCTGCCCTGCCTGTTCCGCCCCCTGCCCCCTGCCCCGCCTGCCCCAGGGCCACGCACCGCCTCCATGGTCCGCTGCAGATCGCCCAGGCAGTCCTGCAGCGCCATGGCAGACACGCCCTCCGCCCACAACCCACAGCATCATCTGCACGCTATGGGGCTCGAGGGCGGAGTCTTGTCCCTTCTGCCCGGCTATGTCCTTGGCTGCACTGCTCTGTGTGGGCCGTGCCTGGGGGCGACTCTCTTCCAGGGGGGATGCTGGTGAGGAGGGGGCCACGGGGGGAGGTGGGGCTGGGGCGACGGCGTGCGTGCCCACAGAGAGGGCTCCGAGTGCCACCTCTGCCACGCGTGCCATAGGTTCGCCACCACTGATCTAAGATTCAGTGTCTTAACCACTGAGCCACCGCGAGTGATTTCCCTGAGGGTTGGGGGCTGGGAGAGCACAAGCTAAATCTGAAGGGAGATTCTCNCAGGAAGGAGGGAGCAGCCTAGGCCAGGGGTAGGCCACCTTGGCTCTTTTATGACTCGTGGACTTCAACTCCCAGAATTCCTGAGCCAGCATGGCTCAGCATGGAAACCTCTCCCTTTCCCCTCAGCATGGCTGGCTCAGGAATTCTGGGAGTTGAAGTCCACGAGTCATAAAAAAGCCCAGGTTGCCTACCCCTGGCCTAGGTGATCACGTGGCTTCTCTGGAGTGAGGAGCTGGTGACTGGCGGGGCTGCTGGGGGAAAGACAGAAGGGGGGGGCTCGGCCTGGGTGCAGGCGTTGCGTCCCCAACAGGAGCTCCCGTCTGAGCTGAAGGTTGGCCTTGGGGGCTTCAAGGGCCCCTCCCCAACCCAAGATTTTGAGGGGCCAGGAAGCTGGTACTCCTCAGTCCTAACTGGTCTGCTTCACAGAGCGGACACCTTGGTGCTTCTCACATTTGTTGTGAGCAGATTTAGTGGGTGGAAACGTGGCGGAGCCTCTGGCACACTCAATGGCCTTGCAAAGCTGAGCGGTTGGGAGGCCCAGCAGCTTCCCCGGTTCTTCTAAGGCCATGTTAGTTTGGCTCGCCCCCTCCCCCCAACTCTTTCATCCTCTGGGGCAGGGGTAGGCAACCTTGGCTCTTTTATGACTCGTGGACTTCAACTCCCAGAATTCCTGAGCCAGCATGGCTCAGCTTGGAAACCTCTCCCTTTCCCCTCAGCATGGCTGGCTCAGGAATTCTGGGAGTTGGAGTCCACGAGTCATAAAAGAGCCAAGGTTGCCCACCCCTGCTCTGGGGACACCTGGGTGCCTGTTGGACCCCTCCCTTGGACCTGCGACGAAGGGCCAAAAGTTAGACCCCCGCTAGATTCCCCCATCAGCCCGTCTTGGCCCATTTGCAGAGCCTGAAGGTCCCTGTGTGGCACGCCAACCTTCAGCACATGGCAGACGTCAAGGGCCCCTCTGAGAGCATACAGTCCACCCCCTGCTTAGGGCTGAGGCTGGATTAAGGCTTTCAAGACTTTTAGCTCACCCCCTGCACCCCCTTTCTCCCCACAGCCTGACCCTCTTTGCAAACGTCTGCGAGAAGACCGTGCTGAAGCGGCTGCTGAAGGATCTGTGGCGGGTTGTGATGGACACCCTGGAGAGGCTGATTGTGCTGCCTCCCCTCACGGATCACACTGTGAGTTCCCCTCCCGGTTCCTTACTCACTCCCCCCCCCAGCTCCCTGTCTGGAGCAGGCTAGGCTCAGCCCTGGAGCTCTGGAGAAGAGGCTGTGGGGCCAGAGCGAGGCAGGAGGGGCAGGCCTGACCTCCGGCTGCCAGCGTCCTTTGGAGCTAACCAACCATGGGCTCTTTGCAGTGGGGACCTCGGGGTGCTGCAACTCCCACTGAGGCTGAGTTGGAGGCCAGGAGGGCCTAGCAGGGAGCCTTCTGCAAAGCCCCTTTTCCCAATCAGAGTGTTTTTCTAAGCGTTGTAAACCTTAGTTTTAACAAATAACGCCTTTAAGATTTGTAGTATAGAACGTACATAAAAACGACATATTTTGAAGAAGAAAACATCACCTGTTATAAAGTCAGTTATATGGTGTAGGGCAGACATGTCAAACACAAGGACCAGGGGCCGGATGCGGCCCGTGAAGTGGTTTCATGTGGCCCGCAAAGCCATCCTGGAAACAGTGAGGGAATGGCCCCCGCTGCCTTGGCCCTGGCCCCGGCCGGCCGGGAGCCAATGTACAATTTTGTGGTGGCCCTCTATGCTGAAACGCATTCAGTCTTAGCTCCACAAGGCCGTCTGGAAACAGCGAGGAACCAGCCCCTGCCGTGTCGGCCCCGCCCCCTGGGTCCATGCTGGGGAGGTGTCACCCTTTATGAGGAATGAAGAAATGGACCATGCCTTGGCGCTTGCCCCGGTCCCACCCCCTTCTGCCAGAGACCCTCAGATCTGTCCCACTCCTGCCCAGGCCCCCACAGGCACCCTTGACGCGAACGATGTAGAGCTGGCCACACCCACCCAGTAGGCCACACCCACTCCATCCATGCCCACCCACTAGGCCGCACCCACCCTGGCCACACACACCCTGAGGGCAACCGCAATGCTGATGCGGCCCTCAATGAAATTGAGTTTGACACCCCTGGTGTAGGGCAAAAACCCTACACTGAACCCAGAAAAAAGAAAAGGGGGGAAAAACTGTAAAACAAAAATTAAAAACCTAAACAACTATAGAGAACTCTCCCTGGATGAAGTTCATAGTATGTCTAAAACCATTCTTAGGTTGTTTTTTTATTTCCCCTCCTCCCATTTGCACATAAGGGGGAAACCCTCTTTCTTAAAGCTGAAAAGACGGCACAAATTCTGTTTCTTTCTTCACTTGTCTTGATTCCATTTCCACTTTCGACCCACGAACAAAGCCGGCTCCATACGAATCGCTGGGCCTAATCCAGCCAGTCCTTCAGGCCAGGATGGCAGGGCCGCCCTTGCGGGGGCCTGGAGCACAAGAGAGGGTGAAAGGCTCCTGGAGGAGGAGGGTGTGAGTCCTCCCAGAGTTTGGTGTTTCCCCCCCCCCTCCAAGAAGCTCCAAGGACCAAACAGCGGTTCCTGGTTCCATCAACCGGGGGGGGGAGGCTCTTGGGGCAACTCGCATCTGGCTGAGGATTGCTCGTGTCCAGGGCAGACGCCGCATTTCGCTCACCGTCAAATTTTTAATCTTTTTTCTTCTGTCTTCTCCTGCTCGTCCTCGCCAGGGGACCCAGCTGATTTTCAGTGCTGCTAAAGAACTGGGCCATTTATCCAAGCTGAAGGTATTAGGTGGGGGGGGTGGAGGAACAGAGCAGCTCACACAATGCATGCCCCCACCCCAGCCTCTCCCCGTGTCCTCAGCCTTGCGCAAGAGCCTCGTGTCGCATGTCTGGCAGAGCATGTTCATCCCAGGTTCTTCCACTTCCGATCCAGACCCAAGCTGGCTGGGGGAAGAGTTGACTTTTCATGCTGTCTCGCCTCCAGCATCGTCCCAGCCCAAGGGAGGCCCCTGGACCACCCCTGCCCCAGGTGCTTGGGTGGGGTGTTGGCCTTCAGCAGGGAAAACGGGGCCTGGGGGAATCAGCAAGAGGGGTCTTGGTAGGCCGAGGCCTTCTCCAAGGACTCGGGGGGGTGAGGGGCTGGGAATGGAGAGGGCCTCAGCACCAACTCCCCTGAGATGGAGGGGGGAATCCCTGCAGGTCCCTGAGGTCTCCAGCTGCCTCTTCTCCCAAGGGGTCCTCTGAGCAGCCTGGAGGGAACTTGGTGCAGCCATCCCAGCAGGCAGCCTCAGAGCGATAGCCCTGGGGAGGGTGAGGGGGGGAGGGCTGATCCCTGTTCTGATGTCCACACGCCATGGCTGGGCTCTTGAGGTGGGACTGGGTGGCCTCTCTTGGGGTACCAGTGGCTCCCATTCTCTGGGAGGCTTCGTCTCGGCTCAGGAGATCCGCAGCAGAAACCAGCAGCACAGCAGTTGTGCTCTTTTGGACACGGTTTGGTTTGGCCAGGGAGGCCCCCAGGTCTCAGGAGTGACCGCCCGCTGGGGTCCCTTGGCAAGAGGGGGAAGCAGAGAACCCACTGGGGAGAGGGGAGAGGGGAGAGTCAGGCCGAGTGGGAGAGGGCGGTTAGATGTCTCTGGGCTGGAGAATCCCACCAGTGCAGCCTGAGATTTGGCGGCCATCATCAGTTGTGGCCTAAGCAGCTTCCAAGGAAACACAGAAAAAAAGTGGACGGTGCCCTCTGTCATCTGCTGGGCTTCCGTCAGGGACAGCTTGGCTCCTGCAGGGTTTGGCCCCGAGAGGGAAGCATCAGCAGTGAGTGGTAGAATGTGTTTCCTCAGTTTCCCCAGTTTCCTCTCATTGTGCGTGTCGGTGTCTGGAGGAAGACACCTCCCAGCCGCTGCTTGCGCTGCTTGTACTTCCACCAGCTAATTGTGCCCTTCGTCTGCTGCTCCTGCTTCTCTTCCCCCCCCTTCCTAGCCTGTTAACTGCATTACCTCGGCCCCCAACAAGCCCCTGGGGTGGGCGGCCCACTCCCCATCCCTGCTCACCCAGCGGGTTTCCCTTTTAGGATCACATGGTCCGGGAGGAAACCCGGAGCCTGACCCCCAGGCAGTGCGACGTGCTGGAACTGGCGCTGGACACGATTAAAGTGAGTCTCTTCACTCGCTCACACACTGTCCTTAGAGCGGGCAAAGCCCAACAACCAGCCCGAAGCAGGAGGGGTGGGTGGACGGACAGACGGGTGGATGGATAATGGGTAAATGACTGAATGGATGGATGGATAAACAGATGGATGGATGGACGGACAGACGGACGGACGGACGGACGGACGGACGGATAGATAAATGGATGGATGGATAGATGGATAAACGGATGGATGGATGGATAAACGGATGGATGGATAGATAGATAAACGGATGGATGGATGGATGGATGGATGGATAAAAGGATGGATAAACGGATGGATGGATAAACGGATGGATAAACGGATGGATGGATAGATGGATAAACGGATGGATGGATGGATAGATAGATAAACGGATGGATGGATGGATGGATGGATGGATAAACGGATGGATGGATGGATAAACGGATGGATAAACGGATGGATGGATGGATGGATGGATGGATAAACGGATGGATGGATGGATAAATGGATGGATGAGTGGAGCAGCCTTGACTTACAGCACGTGGCCAAAGACAGGCCTAAATCAGGCAATACACTCCCTGTCATCCCATTAAAAATGCTGTATTGGAATCTAAGTTGGAACTGAAGGAATCCTTCAGAATAATGACTATTATTATTATCACTGCTTCATCTGAAAGTTGCAGAGTTGCCTTCCTTGAAGGTTTGACCCTGGCAAAGGGGAAGGGTCTGCCAAAGGTCTGGAATCCAGCAGGGCCATCTCCTGGGAACTGAATGGGGGGGATCCACAATGGCCAAGGGAATGGGGGTGACAGCCCCCTTGGTGGCCCCTACAGTCTGTGGCAGCAGTGGGAGGGGGTGGTTCATGGGCTCACTCAAGGTGGTTCAGGGCCAGAAGGGCTGTCCCGCGGAGGGGCCTTTGTTCTGGGTGCTTCTTGCGTTGTGGACGTGACCCTCTTTGTCTGCCTCTTATTCCCCCCCACAGCAATACTTCCATGCCGGGGGGAACGGGCTGAAGAAGGCCTTCCTGGAGAAGAGCTCGGAGCTGCAGTCGCTGCGCTATGCCCTCTCCCTCTACACCCAGACCACCGACACCCTCATCAAGACCTTCGTCCAGACCCAGACAGCACAAGGTTCGTGTGTGTGTGTGTGGATGAGACTTGTTGGCATGCTGGCCCCTCCCCTATCTACGAACAGCTTCCCACGTTAGCCACATTCACGGAGCAACTGAACCCCCAGATGTGTTTGGACGGACTGGGGGAGACGCAGGCTGTTCTGCAGTGGGGCGAGTCGTGTCGAGGGATTGAGGGGAGGGGGTTCCAAGAGGACGTGCCTCCTCCAGCTCCGGTGTGTGCAGCAGCTGGAACGGCAGTGACCATCCTGGAATCACAGGGTGGCTTTGCCCAGGAAGCAGTTGAGGATTGTCTGGAGCAGAAATATCCCTTCTGATCAAGTCCCTGGAGCCCCGTCTTCTGCAGCATCCCAAGCAAAAGGGCTCGGGGGCTGAGCAGCCTCAGCTCAGTTCAAGACAGGCAGGATGGTTCTCCCCTCCCTCCTCCCTGCCTCTGAGGGACTAGCCTCCCACGGATGCCTGATGAAAGCCTGGCTTCAGGCGGCAGAAGATGGGCTAAGGGAGGCAGGGGAGCATGGAATGGCATCCAGTTGGGCTGAGATGTGAGGGGGGAGCCAAAGCCCTCCACTTAGCCCCTATGCACCCTCCCTTGGGCAGTAGCATCCTCTGCTCATCATCCCCAACTGCCACTTCAGGAAGGTGCCTCAGCCTCCGGGAGGGGCAGCCCTGTGCAAACAGTCCCCCCCCCCAGTGGCCAGCAAGTCCATTGTTTCTTCCCCTCCTCCCAGGCTCCGTAGCAGAGGACCCCGTGGGCGAAGTCTCCATCCAGGTGGACCTCTACACGCACCCAGGCAGTGGGGAGCACAAGGTCACCGTGAAAGGTAACCAGGTGGCATCTCAGCCGATGGCATCTCGGCATCCTTGCCTGCCAGGAAGGGCCCTGCCACCAGCAGGATGAATGGGGGGCAGGTAGAGCTCATGGGTGTCTCTCGCTCCAGAATGGGGTGTCCTTTGCTCAGTGTGGGGGCCACAGTCCCCCCATTACGTGGGGCATGGGAGAACACCCTCTCCCCTTTTGTTCCCACAGTGGTGGCTGCCAACGACTTAAAGTGGCAAACCACCGGCATGTTTCGCCCCTTCGTGGAGGTCACCATGATTGGGCCACACCAAAGTGACAAGAAGCGGAAATTCACCACCAAGTCCAAGAGCAACAACTGGGCTCCAAAGTACAATGAGACATTCCACTTGTAAGTCCCCCGGCCTCTTTCCTGGGGGGGGGAAGGGGGTCTCTGCTTCCTCTGTGGCTGGGCACACTTTTTCACCTCCGTGGGGTGCCCCACCTGCACCCTGGTCCGCCCCCTCACTCAGTGCCCTGATCCTTCCCAGGCAGGCAGTTGTAGGGTCTGCTCCGGACACTCCGCCCGCCTCCCTTCTTTGGTCTCATGTCTTCCTGAAAGATTTTCCTTCTGCAGTCAAATTAAAGGAAGCAGCCCCCCCCAAGAGGCAGGAGGGCGCCTCCCCAGGGATGAAGGACCCAGCCAGAGGCTCTGCTCAGAGGGGCAGAACCCCGCTGCCTCCCCTGCCCGCCTGCTGTCACTCGGCTGACCCTCTCTCGCTTTCTCCCCTGCAGCGTCCTGGGCAATGAGGACGGGCCGGATGCCTACGAGCTGCAGGTCTGCCTGAAGGACTACTGCTTTGCCCGCGAGGACCGGGTCCTGGGCATCGCCGTGCTGCAGCTCCGGGAGGTGGTGGAGAAGGGCAGCTGCGCCTGCGGGTGCCCGCTGGGCCGGAGGATCCACATGGACGAGACGGGGATGACCATTCTGAGGATCCTCTCACAAAGGACCAACGATGAAGTGGCCAAGGAGTTCGTCAAGCTCAAGTCCGAGTCCCGCTCCCTGGAAGAAGGGAGATGATCCCGGCCTCCGTCTCGGACTGCTTGGACTAGACACGCGGAGCAGCACCCCTTCCCCCGGGGCACCCCAGGTGGAGCTTGGGGGGGGACTGTGAAATCTTCCTTCCCAAAGGAGTCTCTGGAATGGATCGGACCAGGGGGGGTCATGACCCCCTCCTGCTTCAGCAGCTGTGCACAAGGAGTGGGGGCAACATGCGCCCGCCAGAGGGAGGGGCAGGCGACCGAATCTCAGGCCGGCAGGAAGACCCGGCCCCACATTCCCTCCACTTGGGCGAGCCACAGGCAGGGAGAGAGGGGGCTCTTGAGCTTTGACCAGGCAGTGACGAGGGTCTCAGAAGGATGCTTGCCTGGAGAGGCCAGTGGAAGGAGCCCCAGCGGGCCGTTGGCACCTCGTTGGTCGCCATGGGGCGCAAGGAGGGAGCGTGCCTGACGCAAGCTCTGCTCTCCTCCGGTGCGGGTGAAGATGAGGAGGGGCTTCCCTTTTTCTCTTGACGTTGTACAGCTTCACGGTCTTTCTCAGAACGCTTCTAGATGCTGCTTAGCTGTCGTGGGCGGGTGTGATTCAAAAATGCTGTCGCCAATTTTTAACCCCGTTGAATGTGCCACCGTTGCAGGAAGTGTAGCCTTTAATAAAGGAACGTTAGCGGCATTCGCATCTGTTGCCTTTGGTTGGGCTGGCCCACCTGCCGCTGGGAGTGTGTGGCCCTCGGGCATTTGGGGGGTTCTGACATCGCCCCAAAGCCTTTTGGCACAGCAGCTGCCGAGGAACCGGGTGGAGACGGGGGAAGCGCTTGAGTTTGCACTGGCCAATTCTGAAGACGGCTGCAGTCTCTCTCACCCACCATCTGGAGCTTGAATGTACCCCGTCCTTATGCATAACTCTGGGGCACCTTCCTTTGGGAGATACAGCTGGCACCGGTCCTCATGCCCAGTCACTGCTGGTGCCCTGTCTGGAAACCGGCCTTGTGCTGGGGCACAGGAGGGTCATTTAAGATAAGATAAGATAACCTTTATTGTCATTTTTTTACTGTGGGCACAACGGCACACATCAAAAATGAAATTTAGTTGCCCGCTCTCAAAGTGAAACACATACATGACGCACTCCTAAATATACTATGAACAACATATGTATAGACCCACACCCCTACATATACGTAGCAGATAAATATTAAATACTGTCCGTCTTGAATATATAACGGAAGGAGGAAGCTTGAGAGTTCGCAAGGTTAATGCTGTATGGAATGAAACTATGGCTGAATCTGGATGTTCTGCTATGGATACCACGAAGCCCCCTCCTCCCAGAAGGTAACAAGGAAAACAGGTTGTGAAGAGGGTGTCCCAGATAATCTTGCGGGCCCTACTCAAGCAACGCTTCTGTGCTATGTCCTGGGTGGGAGGGAGGGAGCTGCCAATGATCTTTTCGGCCGTCCTCACCACTCTCTGCACTGCCTTCCTGTCTGAAGCAGGGATGCTTCCAAACCAGACTGTGATGCTGTATGACAGGATGCTCTCAATCATCCCCCTGTAGAAAGTGGTCAGGACAGGGGAAGGAAGATGTGCTTTTCTCATGCGATGCAGAAAATGCAGGCGCTGCTGTGCCGGGCTTCACCAGTTTCTCGCTGTTGCGCTTGGTCGCATTTAGCCAGTCAGGTAGCTCTGTGCTTCTGCCTAGTGCCGTTCCTGGAAGGCCTAGAGATCCTGGGGGCTTTGCCCTCCTGGGGCACCTCTTGGGAATAGCGGGTGAAGGTTCAGAGCCCAGAATCAGCTGGCAGTTTCCGTCCTGTGCCCTGAGATGGGTTGAGCCAGACTGTTCAGTCGGAGCAGAGTGGAACTCGGAGCGGAAGAGAGGCCCAGGGGTCAGCTAGATGATCTCTTGGCTGGTCTGGAGCTTTGTGGCCCCAGAAGGGTTGGTGGATGAAGCTTTAAGTGAGGGTTTTTATTTGTTTAAAACATCTGTATAGCCACTGGAGTTAAAACCAAACTGGGTGGCCGAGAGCCCAGCAGTAATAATAAATGGAATTATAAAAACAAAATGAAAACCCAAAACAGAAAAATCTCCCCCCCCCTTCTCATCCTGCCCTGAACTCGCCCCATCCCAGCGCCTGAAGGTGGCCTGAGCTCTGTTGCTCCAGGAGAGCCAGGGTCTGTTGGCATCACTGATGCCCGGATTTCCTAGCACTCCTCCCTAAGCGAGGCTACCTTTGGGATGTGAGAAGGGCGATGATTCGCGGGGAGGGTCTTGGCCGCTGCTGCCCCTTCAGGGTGGATCCTTTTCCAGCCTCTTTGGCTCCTCTGAGACTCCAGTCACTGACTCTGCAAACAGGTGGGGGTTTTGCCCCCGGGTACCCCAAGCTCCTGCACAAGAGAAGCAGGCGATGCCAGGGAAGGAGGGGGGGTTGTCCACGGCCGCCATGCTGGACCAAGTCCCAGGGGGGTCACAGCAGCCCACTCTGAAAATCGGTTAGCTGCCTTGGCCTCCTCGGGTTGCTTCCCGGCTGCAGTCTTCCCGACCCCCTCTTCAGTCAGAGAGGAGCCTGGCCCGCGGGCTTCTTTTTTCCTTCCTTAAGGTAAGACTTCCCCACCTGTGAACTTTGTCAACACACAAACACAGGTTTTCAGAAATTATGCAGCACTTAAAAAAGAAGGCAGCATGGCGCAGCTCACGTCGATGTTGCTAGTTTCTCTGGGGAGGAGATACCACTACAGAGATTCCCCCCCCTTTTCTCCTCCCCAATGAGGGGGGAGTGTGGGAGAGGGGCTTCTGGGGGATTCCTCTCTAGGCAGCTGCTCTGACCAATCCAGCAAAGCAACCAAAAAAGGCTTAAATCTCCCGTTGGCTCCATGGCCCCAAAAGGGGGGTTTCCTTGGGGTGCAGTCTTGGCATGCTCTGCAGCCCAGGCCATCGCCAAGCAGGGGCGGGGGGGGGGACTCCCTTTAACTTTGCCTCAAACTGCAACCAATGCTGGAAAAGCTGGGAAATCCATTGGGGTGTGCGGATGGAAACTTGTCTCCAGTCCTTCCGTAATCTGTTCAGCCAGCAAGCAGCAATAAGGCCTTAGGGCAGGGTTAAGCAACCTTGGCTCTTTTATGACTCATGGACTTCAACTCCCAGAATTCCTGAGCCAGCATGGGGCAAACTTTGGCCCCTTCATGACTCGTGGACTTCAACTCCCAGAATTCCTGAGCCAGCAGGGCTCAGCTTGGAAACCTCTCCCTTTTCCCTCAGCATGGCTGGCTCAGGAATTCTGGGAGTTGAAGTTTACAAGTCATAAAAGAGCCAAGGTTGCCTACCCCTGCCTTAGGGCATGGCCACTTGGGGAGAATGCCAAGGTCCTTCTCTTGGGAGAAGACCACCCTTTGGCCTCCATTAATTCAGGGTTGTGGGCAAGCTCCTCAGGATGGTGGCAGGGAGGAAGAGGGGAAGATTGGTAGCTGTCCTCTTCCCAGCCAGCCAGGGCCCTCTGGCACGGCCCCTGAGCTGTGGGAACTCCCGCACCAGAGCCCCAGAGCAGAGGGGGGCCGTTCCAGAGGCGGATGGGGCTCTCTGGGCACTTGCAGAGGGAGTCTGAAGCATGCCAAGTGCTGATCTTCTCCGGCCTCAGGTTTGGCCCTACTGCCAAGCACCAGCCCGAATAAAACATTGCAAATCCCACCTCCGTTAATGCACAATTCCCGTGGCTCCCTTTGACTTTGCTGGTCAGCAGCTGGCAGTGAAGGGCGCAAAGGGCAAACGTGTGGCAGCCGTGGGGACGTTGCAACACGCAGAACTTCAAGGGTTAGTCGTAGATACCCCTCGCTCGGTGCCGTTGTGAGTACAGTTGGTTGCTGAACCGGTGGCCCTAGAGCAGGGGTAGTCAACCTTGGCTCTTTTATGACTCGTGGACTTCAACTCCCAGAATTCCTGAGCCAGCACAGCTGGCTCAGGAATTCTGGGAGTTGAAGTCCACGAGTCATAAAAGAGCCAAGGTTGACTACCCCTGCCCTAGAGCGAGGATCACCTGCAAACAGGTGAGGAGAGGGAACCTCTGAGCTCTTGGAAGGTTTGAACAAGAGAGAAATTCAGGAGCCCAGCAGGATTCCCACCCTTGCCAGGCAGGCCCGTTTTCCTGTTCAGGGCTGCCCCCAGCTGGAGGCCGGATCGGCTGCGTGGCTTCCAAAGAGGGCTTTAATTTCTGTACGGCTTGAAATGAGGCCGATGGCTCCATCTCCCCAGCTTGCTGACCGCTCTTGTCTGAGACGTGATCGGCCAGGAGGGCCCTGACAGTCTCTAGGGATAATCACCTGGCAGCCCCAGAAAGTGCATACGTGGGTGCATCTCGTCTGGGGCAGACAGCCCCACTGCAGTCCCTGTTGAAGAAGCAAGGGGGGCCGAGGGGCCTAGGTGCCACTGAGGCCCAATGAAGCTTCAGCCATTGCTGGCAGAAGCCCAGGCCAGTTCCGGCCATGTGGCCTCAGCCAGGCCTCTCACCACAGGCAGCGGCAGCCCCAACCAAGCCAGGCGTGGCATTCTCTCTGCTGCTGTGGGACACTGCAGGGGAGGCCAGTGCCCAGCTGGCCAGCATGGGGCGGTCAGGTAGTCCCTATAGAATCAACTTGTGAAGGAGGCCAAAGGATTTGGGGGGGGGCTCTCAAGGGGGTATCATGTCTAGCCTTTCCACTTGTGGTTTCCCACCTGCTGGGGCTGCCTTCAGCTAAATCAGTGGTGGCGAACCTATGGCACGCGTGCCAAAGGCGGCACTCAGAGCCATCTCTGTGGGCACGCGCGCCATGCCAGGGAGGTGGCAACCATCCCTCTTCAACCAGTCGCCCGCTAACGTGGCTGATTGCATCCCAGTACCCATGCGCTCGCTGGCCTCTTGTGTGCAGGGGCCGATGGTGTCAGGCAGCCGCCGCCCCGGCCCCTGCCTCGCCTTGCCCTGTGACAATGGCATCCCTGCCCTGCCTCGTCTTGCCTCGCCTCACCCTGCAGGACGAGCCTCCTGCCCACCGCCCCACCTGCCAGAGATGCCCTGGATCTCCCCCAACCCTGCCCGGCCCCCACAGGCGTCCCTCCCCACGAGCAACATTGAGGTGATCATGCCCACCTTGGCCACACCCACCCAGTCTGCCATGACCACCACAGCCATGCCTATCCAGTGGGCCACACCCACCTGGCACCCGGCGATAAATAAGTGGGTTTTGGGTTGCAGTTTGGGCACTCGGTCTCTAAAAGGTTCGCCATCACTGAGCTAAATCAAAAGTCTCTCACCAGGCCTGTCCGCTCCTGCATTCACTGGCCACAAACTCACCCAAGGCGGAGAGCACTGATCATCTTTACTGCAGCCACTGTCTCAATAGTGGCCCCCCAGCCCCTCATGCTCCCCCTGTCCTCCTCCTCTGGAGGGTCTTCTGCTTGGCTGCTGAGATTCTCCCCCCCCCCATTTGCTCCAGACTGGTGAACGTGGGGTGTGTGAGGAGTGCCCCCCCCAGCATCTTTACATTCCTCCGGTGGGTCCCCCAGGGTGGCAGATCAGAGAAGCTTGAGCTGAGGTCTGTTGTGGGACCCCTCGGCCAGGGGGGGGCTTCCTTTGTCCCGGGCAATGAAGACCCTGATCTCCAGTGGGCAATTGGGGCTCCCCCCCCCCGCTTCTCTCAGAATTCGCTCTCTTG